GCAAATGCTTTGTTCTCTGATACTACCATAGTTGATGTGACATATGCCACAATTGCTTACTAAACCTGCTCTTTCAGTTTAGCACTTCATTGCTACTGTATAACTGATAAAAGTTGCTGTACACGACTGGAAACAATATTCATACGCCAGATTCATTGAGTGAATAAATTCTAAAACATAAATAGTTTTTAAGCATTAACATTATACGTATTAAGAGTACCTAAAAAATACAACTTTGGTTCACCATAAGAACAAAAAAGTACAGTATAACCATAGTTATAATAAACTTTCTGGGCTAACCTGTGAACAAAACCAAACCGAAAATCAATTGAGCTATGTTTTTACCAATCAACAATTCCGAAACACGTATTTGTGACGTTGAGAGTAAACCTTGTTTTCGTTACCAGTTTCAAAATGGCCGATTTCCCGGAGCCGTTTCTACTCAATTAGCTGGGTAATGCAATAATTTGATAACAGTTTCGCACTTACGCCGCTAATTGGCAAAACTATCAACCGCGGGCTTGTACCTACCCAACCTTACAAGAACCATCTTGTAAGAACCATACTTAGTAAATGTAAAATGGCGTCAACGTAGATTGTGTATGTTTAGAGATGTGTAAAGTGTCAAGGATTAGATTGGTTTTAATACGTTTCGATAACGTCGTTTCAAAAAAATGAAGCCAATTAAAACAGTTTTCATGTAGCTTATTTATTGTTTCAGTTGTCATGTAGCGTTTATGTTTCAGGTATGTATTCGAACAACATTGATGATTTGTTATGGAATCAAGTGACCATAACGTAAGTATTTTTGTTTAATTAAATAGCTTATTCCCTATATGGACAATTTGCTAAAACTGCACACTTATATATTATCTTACATAAAACATTTATATTAGGAGAATGAAGTGGAATATTCCAAAGTAATTTCATGTAATAAGTTTTTGACAGTAAGAGTAAGTTAGTTAAAGCTAAAAAGTTACGGTTTTCAATAATTTGCTGTAGATTCTGAACATTCGGTTTCGTTGTATTTCTCATCTTGTCTTCAGATTTACGTTGCCTTATTGCCTATTCACTCAATAATCTTTAAACGCAGGTTCAGTCCTTAAGAGGTGTATTTAATCAATATTTATCACTCGAAACTAATCCCTGCCACTGTATATGAAATTGTTCTGCATTGCTATACTGTATTTCATTTTTGCCTTTTGCATTGTTTGAAAAACGTTTCTATAATTTTGGCTTGGCCATTAAACCACGCAATAATCAGGTTCAGTCCTTGAGAGGTGTATTCAACCATTATTTATCAATCCCAACTCATTTGATTGCTGTGTTTCTTGTTTCATGGTACAAATATTAGCGAATTTCCCTATAGGGAATAAGCTATTACCGTAGGTCTCATGGCAAGACTTAGTCCCGGGACCGATTTACTTTTTCATTTTGATGTCTCTAGAAGCCAAAAACACCGTCCGTTAAATTCATATATATATATATATATATATATGTGTGTGTGTGTGTGTGTGTCCGTCAGCACGATAACTCGAGCAAAAATGATCCGATTTCGATGAAATATGGTAGGCCTACAAACGTGTAAACCTACGTTTATTTGAACGAGTTTGCGAACCAGCATGATCGGACCATTGGAACGGGGTTTAATGGAGGGATTTATGCGGTAAAAATCTGTTTTTCTCATTTTTGACCCTCAAAACATAAAATTTCCCAAATTTCCTCTAGATCATTTTGAAGAGCTTAAAAACAAATAATTCAGTATATTGAAGTGTTTTTGTATGGTTATTGGTTGCGGAGAGAGCTGTAAATTAAAAATTCCCATGTTATTCTTATGGAGAATACGTAAACTGTTGTAGTTTGATTGTTTATGCATATGTTTGGATTAAACTTGGCCAATCGATTTATTTTATACTAAGCTATTAATATTTAACAAAAAAACGCACTTTATTACCCTGTAGGCAGCAAACCTAGGTACTCGTTAAACCTAATGTTATTTGAATGGATTTAATTGAAAATATAATCAGGCAAATGGAAATTCGCTTAGTCTGCAGGTTTGCTGCGGCGGGGGTATAATATAATACCATAAATACTATAATATTTAGGATGCGCGTTGCAACGCTCCCATGTGTACAGGGTCTAAGAGGAGGGTAAGATCGAACCCGTTACTCTAGCGCCGAAATCCGATACTTTAACCACTAGAGTAGCGATTAGCCAAACTATTGTAAATCCTTCTAAAGCTTTGATTGTTCGCAAAACGAAAAACAAATTAAAACCTTCAGAACAGCACGAAATGTCGGTACCGGTAACTGTTTGAACGATCTAAATATGTCTCAATTTAATCACTAAAGTAGGAGTGTTGTCTGTACCCAGGGGACGTCACCTAGTCGTGACATTTCTATCTTATTTTATTTTATTTTTATTTTATTTTATTTTATTTTATTTTATTTTATTTCAACGGACATCAGACTATCGACTTTCAGTAGTACAGTACTTTCTCGCGTGTAGTTCCCAACTTTATTGTTGGCCTTTGTCAAAATATTCGTCAATCGTTTATGCATTATTATTAACAAAATATTGGTCTACTTTGTAACAGCTTTCTTACGCTTGCCCAACTATGTTATAAGTACCGATTGTGAACTCAAGGCATTTTAGATCTTAATTTAATTGTTGCCCGAATTAACGTTGTGTTCCTCGGATATTGATGATTTAGCATATTTTAAACTGGACTTTTGTTTTTTTTTTCAACAAGTTTAACTTGTCGATGTTTGTATCTGAACCGGTTTAGCACGATCTTCACACCAATGGCCTTCGGATGGTGATTATAATATTACGCGATTCCTGTTCTCCTTCGGATTGTTCATCAACTAACTGTTGTACCATTACTTCTGATGCCGTAAATTGACATACTGTGTTCAACAGGCTTGTACACTGTTTGACATAGCCTGTAACAATATTGTTCATTGGCCGAATAAAATCATTGTATCATTGTACGGTACGTTCTAGAAACAACCGACGAGTTTAAGAACTATTTGTATTTGCACTAGGGTGCAGAAGCGTTATTTTTTATTATTTCTGTTTCAACATCTATTATATAACGATGAAATAACGCTCTTCAGTAGTGAAACGTTCAATTATTAATAATTACAAATGAAATGCCTAGCTTAAACATTATTTCTTTACTTTACATAAATTCGTTTTGGAAGTACATTAAAGTACTGTAACGGGTTCCCTGTGGTGGTCCTAACCATTGACTATACATAGTCAATGTCCTAACCTAACAAAAACAGCTAAACAGTTTAAAGCGTTAAGCGTTGATTCTTGTACTCGTACAATAGTTTTATTTAACCGTCAGTACAAGTAACAATTTTTAATTTTCCTTGGATCAGTCTAATCAAACCAAATATTTCGATCCATTAACTTCATGTCTAGTATTATGTATGGATCTGTCTGCAGGTTTGCTATGATGGGAGTGGGAGTATCAGTATTCTACCTTCATATATGGTATTATATAACTTCTTGATTAGGATCATACGTGTTATTAAATTACCTGAAAGCACAAAACTACGTCAAATAACACTTACACCATTTACTCACAAGACGGTTAATACATCTTTTATACAGGGTTGGGCAAATGTGTGGATACCCCTAGTTAACTTTTTAACGCGTTGCAATAGGAAAACCTAACTCGACACATATTTACAACATAAGAAATTGCACTTTTTCATCAAAGTTACAACTTTGCCCCAGCCCCCAAAATGGGGTATTTTGGGGGCAGCCCCAAATTTTCAAATGTAAACACCTATCATGTGACCCCTCATTTTAAAGGGTTTATTAAGAGAAATTGAATGGCGCAAACCAGAGGTCAATATCGCAGGCCTAATCAAAATGGCAGCCATTTTAATTTAACATGAGCAATCATGATAAAGTCTGGACACCCCCAGTTAACTTTATAACGTGTGGCAGTGGGAAACCCAAACTTGGCACATGTTTACAACATAAAAAAATGCACTTTTTCATTTAAGTTAGAACTTGTACCCGGCCCCCAAAATGGGGTATTTTGGGGGCAGCCCCAAATTTTTAAAAGTAAACACCTATCATGTGACCCCTCATTTTTAATGGTTTCTCAAGACAAATTAAATGGCGCAAACTAGAGGTCAATATCGCACCCCTAATCAAAATGGCAGTCATTTTGGAATATCCCCTATTAATTTTTTAACAGTTTATAGCAGGAAAACTGAACTCAGCATACCTTTATGAAAAAAGAGAATTCACCTTTTGGTCAGTATTAAAATATTTAATTTTTAAAGTTAACTGGGGGTGTCTAGACTTTATCATGATTGCTCATCTTAAATAATTAAAATGGCTGCCATTTTGATTAGGCGTGGGATATGTACCTCTGGTTTGCGCCATTCAATTTCCCTTGATAAACCCTTTAAAATGATGGGTCACATGATAAGTGTTTACATTTGAAAATTTGGGGCTGCCCCCAAAATACCCCATTTTGGGGGTTGGGGCAAAGTTGTAACTTTGATGAAAAAGTGCAATTTCTTATGTTGTAAATATGTGCCGAGTTTGGTTTTCCTATTGCAACGCGTTTAAAAGTTAACTAGGGGTATCCACACATTTGCCCAACCCTGTATGTATTTACCGTCTTGTGAGTAAACAGTATTAGTGTAAATATATTTGACGTATTTTTGTGCTTTCAGGTATTAGTATTATTTAAATTACCATGGTAGATTTTAATATTTGCTACCCTTCAAGATCCCACCTCCATTTCACCACTTTATGTTTTCCCGTCTCCCAAGTCCAAAATTAAATTTCTCTATTCAACCTTTAAAGCTTCATGCGTTTGCAAAAAATCCTAATGAATTGGCAAATTTTCCATTTCAACAAATTCTCACCTTGTCTCTAGCCCTCCCAACCAACCCGTAAACAACTACAAATAGCCAAGTTTGATTGACAAAAACCTCGCCACTAACCTTACTGAAACTGGTTTTTCGGTAATAATTACCAGCGGGAATCAGGAAGCGAGCACATTGCCAACACGTATTCATACTTCCCGCCAGTTCTACTGAGGAGTGGGAGAAGTGGGGAAGTTTATCCCCGAGATAATGGTATCATTGGTGTCACTACGTCTCTGCTGAACTGAACGTCTCGTTGTCGGCTGTCGCTGTCAATTGTGCGGCAACTGCCTTCTAGAGTGGAAGTCGTCCCGTCCGCCCATTTCTTTGTAAACTAAACATTGTAGGCTAATCTTTTTTTGTTATTTAGTTCCGAGGCATAGGCCCCTACAAGTGGTGTGAGTTTTTTTTAGAAGTTTGTGTTATTTTACAACGTATTTACGTGGAGATTTCACCTATGGATTCGTGTTTTCGCGAGTGATGGTGTCAGTGTGGTGGTTTTGAATTTTGGATTATTTTTCATTTTGTGGATCACGTATTATGGGTAAGTTTGGAAGAAATATAAGCATACTAAATAATTCTTGATTTGAAGGGGCGAATTGGGAATCGTTGTGGCGAAACAAGTTTTGAAGGCCAACTGCGCATTATAACCATCAATTAGGGCTTTGCTAATGATCTAAAATAATTTTACTACTATTTTAAGTTATTAATAGTGAATCAATATAAAGAAACTAATCTATAACACGAATACCTACTTAAAATTGTGTCTGTAAATGTTATTGAACAATGAAATTCAGCTCCTCATTCCTCTTAGTGAGTGTATAGTTTCCATTATGGTATGCGACATGTTGTTTTACCCAGATTATGGTTTTAACACAACTTTATCAAATTTTTGCATTTTTTTGTGTTAAGATGATTGTTTGTTGGACGGACTTACCAAACACGCGCCATGTTTATGTTAACTGTATAAATTTGGCGTTTAAAACATAAACATCCCTATTATATTATAACCCATAAATTTGACTCAGTTTTGATAGAGAGGTTTTAAATACATACTTTGTTAAATTGCATTTACTTAATTACTTTTGTAAATAATGTATTTGGCGACATTTTCTAGACTATTGCTGTAATAACTGCCAAGTGAGCAATAAAGCTGCAAACTGAAACTACAGTACTTCAGTTTCCAATGTTAGCACTATACATTTTTTACGAGTTTCCAATATGTGCACTTTTCATATTCGTATATTGCCGACTATGTCTTGCACAGAAAGTTAACCGCACTCGTTTCAGTTTACACAATGGAAATTCAAGTCAAGTCAGAAACGTAATAATCTACACGCTGTATATTGTAATGTTTATAATTATGTGGACCATAATGTGTGAATATTTGTTATTGACTGAACGACAAAGTTCAAAAAATCTACTTAAAAATAACTGTAATATTTTTTGTTGTAAAATGAGGCAAATAACCTGACTAGTTTAGCCTCATTCTACCCCATTTACAACTAAAAAATCGTTAAAGCTGTTTTTATTCAATCTTTTTGAACTTGGTATCGTTTGATAGGGAATTGAAATTCTTAATAAAAGTGTTCTTGAAATTTTTTCTTCAAATCAGTCATACTTTAGCAATGGTTTCTGGGGGAAATGACTGTATTTGTGTTGGGACAAATCTTTTATAGCGCATTTTCTTCCATGAACCATAGGCAACGTCAGTTTTGTGGTTGTTTGAGGTGAACACATCTATACAATAACAGGGTTGCCACCAGCCATGAAAACCTTGAAAAGCTTGAATTATGCATGAATTCTTGAGACCATGAAAAAAGGCATGGATTATGCATGGATTTCTCAATTGGACCATGAATTTTCAAAATCAGGAACAATTATTTAACCAGTACCATTAAATTTTCCAAATAAAAAATATTTCATATTTAAAAACAGTTCATAGAAACAAACACCATGAAAATACTGTGTGGAGATGATTATTTAACATGTTCCACGGTCAGAACCAATTGCTTATTTCATTCCAAGTCATTCAAAGATGCTGATGTCAGCTGAGATTTCCCAAGGACTGTATATGGTTCGAAAAATCATTAGCAGGCCATCCCCTGCGTATTAAAAAGGGGTATGTGGACTTAAAGCACAAAAACAGAAGTTTTAGGCCATGCACGGAATTGAAACGGGGTGCACAATAAAACCAAATTTCCGACTCTGACGCCTAATTTTTTTAGCTTTTTGGATAAAACCATCATATCTTAGTGTGTTGTGGAATAAGATAAACCAGAATGCACATTTTATGACAATTATGTAGGGGGATAAAACTGGATGAAACAGGACTTTTTTGGCTGGGTGAGTGGGATTTTTGTTTTTATTCCGGTGGAAAGACTGAATTAGACCTAGACTTAATATATTTTACAATTCTCTCCAATATCTCATAGAATATGAGCTGGACCAGTTTTGTTTTCAACTTTGTTTTGAATGTTTATAAAACACTCTAAAAAAGTTGTATATTAAGTATGAAAGGTTATGCAAAAGTAAAACACAAAGAAACTGCCTCTTTAACGTCAGTTTATGAAATCAGCAAAACTCAATTGTGTTGAAATTGTATAAGCGCATCGACCATGAATTTTTTGTAAACTACCAATGAAAACCATGAATTCTGCATGAATTTTATCATCCCACTGTGGTGGCAACCCTGAATAACGAAAATATTGAAAATCTATGGTAATCCAAGGCTTGAGTGTTAGGCCTAAATGATAAATATCAGGATTTTAGATACCACGTGTAAAAATACAGTTCAACAGATGCAGTAGAACGACTCCTTTTATCTATGGTCTATGGTCTCTTCCTATTACTCTTGCCGGTCAGGCAGGTAAGGTTTAGATGTGTTATAGGCCTAGCTATTTTGATATACTCATTAGCATTTTGGCCCGAAGCCCCGAAAGAAACTGTTGGTTCAGAGACACACCATTTAATGCTGGTTTACTTAGCACTACATCTTCTTATACGAACATCTCCACCCATTGAGAAGGTATAGAGTGGGTATTAGGATGACACTCGTCCAGCATAGTAGTTTTGAGGGATTTGTTCATATACTATCGAAAGAGAAGACTTATCTTCTAATCTAAGTAAGTAACTTCATTTACACAATGTTTAAAGCTGGTAGATTTCCAAATGAATTTTAATAGTAGATAGTCACTAAAATGATTATGAAAATGGGTTAGTGTATATTTGGACCCTCTTAAAGAAGACATATTGGGATTGAAAGTGTTTTTGAGTCCCCTCAATAACTGAGCAGGTCTAAAACTAATTTATGAAAGTTTAATTAAATCGTATCTATTTACTAGGGAATAAAGTGGATACCAATAATCAATTACTGAGATGATGTAGTACTTGATGTAGTCTATTACTTATTCATTACTCGCTAGCTACTACTGCTTACTTTTTATTATTAGGTATTTACTGTTCTTTTAGGCATTCGCCCTGCGTGGGTAATTTTGGTTATTTATTAATACGAGAGGTCGTCCAGTGGTCGAAACTCGACCAAAAATATGTAATGTAAACTTACTCACTTCTCTATTTTCACCCTACACTGTAAATAAAACATGTGATTGGAGTTTCATCCATTTGTTTTGATTTTCTGTTTATATTTCGTTGTTATTTCGTCACCAGCATGGCAACGCATAAGATCCATGTAAATTTTTTCAAAATTTTAAACTCATTTTTTGCGCTTATCTTTGAGCCTATTTAAATTTATAAAGGGATTCTGCACACCTACAGGAAAATAGCTTTCTAACGGTATGCGTAGATTTTCCCTACGATGCACACGAGCTGAGAAAAAAGGTTTTAAAGAAACATGCTTGCCTATTAATATATAGATAGATAGATTTACTTAACAACATATTTCAAAGTTAATGAATATTAAAACCCCATTCAATAATTTTACTTTGAACGTAATAGCGATTTGGAAGACCCAAGAGAAATTTTAAAACAAACATAAAGAGTGTAAACTTATACGTAAACCCCTGGTATACAAATCGATGATTTATTTTCTTAACGTAGGTATAATACTTACAGCGCTTCTGTCAAAACAATGAAGAAGCTATTTCAAGCCACCTACACCCATATATCAACCAATGGTCATCCTCGAAGTCTGTGTGCCAAAATAAACATTTATCCGTCCTGTAAAAAGCTTTTCGATATATTCTCGCCCTATTTTTGACTCTGTTCTCGTTACAGTGTTCTTTCCTTTGAACTTTTGACGCGGTGGAATAATATTACTATTGCATCTGGTTAGGAAATTCTTTACTTCTGACTTTGTAATCCAGTTTATAAAGTTTATATGTGGCGTCCAGACAATTAGGGAAGTCACGGCAGATATTTTGATCACATTTCATTGCTCTTAAACCTTAAATGTAGTATGTTCATATCTTTTGTAGAGTAAAATAGCGGGTTTATTGGATTTTAGAAAGTTTAAAAAACGTGTCTGATTGTTTCACGGAATGACATTGGGATTCTTATAACCCAAACATGTTTAAGTCGTTACGTATAAAATTAACGTTGATACGTTCTACAATGGTTCTACCATAGAATAAATAAACACCAGTTCTACCCTGGGTTCTACCACGGATACTAGAAAAGACCCGGTATGGATCATAAGCATAAACAAATGACGTTTTTGGCCCGAAAGTAAACAAAAACAAAATAATAAATAATAATAATATCGTTTGTAGTTAATTAATGCTATTAGTATAGGGGTTTTGTTTACTTTCGGGCCAAAAACGTCATTTTTTACGTTTATGATCCCACGCTTAGGCCCGAAGTTCATACGGACCGATAACTGGAGTAGTTTTTGGTCATATTTTGATTACATTTGGCAAGAATGCGTAGGGCTGGATAGACTTGATTCAGTTCGCTATTCAGAAAGATAATAAATACGGAGTTTTGTAAGGGGTTTTAATTTTTTTTATGTTTTAATTCAAATGTTACCACGAAAATGCCCAATTTTTTACTCCAACCATCGTGTAGAGGTAAAACGACCAAATAATTTAGTAGGCTTATTGAAGCGTTGTTGTACAATTTAAGATTACGAAGAACATAAAAAAAAATCTGTCAGTTTTTAATCCCGTTTATTATTCTTGTTGAAAAAATGCAAACTGTTCTAGTTTGACTTTCTGTGTATATATTTTGATCAGATTTTGTAAATTGATTTATTTTACGCTATAGGCTACCAGTATACAAACAATCCCTGTCTTCATTCCCTGTTGCAGCAAACCTAAGTATCCGTTAACCTTTTGTTATTTGAATTGGGAATACATCTTACTTGTTTAAGGAAATATTTATGTTAAAATTCCATCAGAGTAATGGAATTCGCTTAGTAGGTTTGCTGCAGCCACGGCGTGGGTATTTGTATGTAAATTTATTTCATAATTATAAATTACCTATCTGCCATTATGGTAAACAGAATTGTCAAATTGTAAATCGCAAATAGTGTAAAGTTGATTTAAAGTGTGTAATAACCTAACGGCAGACAAAGCTACGTAAAGT